CCCCAAAACCCCAAAACCCCAAAACCCCAAAACCCCTGAATCTAAAATATATTGATATTGTGTTAAAATTAATAAAATATAATCAATGTAAATTTATTATGTGTTTCAAATAATATTTGGGTTAATAACAAAACTTAATAACTTCATATAGTATTTACTTAGGACGAATAATTTCACTAGTTTATGTTTTGGTAGACTTTCTTGATGTCATTCTCATTCTGAAGTCTCAGGGAAGATCTCTTCTTAGAAAATTAATACTCACTATCAATTGAGGGTCTAGACTGCGATAGAGGTGATTAGTCATAGTTTTTTCCTCTATTTATAATGTGACTGTGATCAGTGTTAACTCCATTTTCCTCTTCATGCTCCTCTTAGTTTTGAGTTTCATTGTTAACTTCATCTGCTTCATTAATCTTCTCGATTTGACCTCTAAAGATATTAGTAGATTTAGGGTGATATTGAGGCTCATAAATATCAGGATCTCCAATAACAGTTGGATCATTGACACTGTTTTATAATTACTATGCTCCTTTATATCCTGAGTTAGGATTCACCTTAGTTAGATCTTTAATATGCTTAGCATTTTAATGTTTCTGATATAAGAAGTAGCCTGCAATACTTCCAGCTATAATCACAACGACAATGACTACTAGAATAACTATCAGTTTTAATTAATCATCATTTCCAGATGAGCCACCTGACTATACAATGATGTTTGGATTTTTAGTGTCAATTACTGGAGTAGTTGATCCTTCATTACCTCCAGTGATAGTACCTCCATTAGTGTTAGTGTTAGTATTTGTATTAGTGTTAGTATTACTATTACTATTCGCAGAAGCAATCTATCCATTTGAAATAATAGGAGTTCCACCAGCAGATGCATCTAAAACAGGTGCACCAAAGGCAGATGGATCAGCCTTAATAGTGTTTTGAATGCTGGTTTAGATTGAAGTAGCTGTTGTTTTTGAATCTGTAGGAACGACTATAAAATCAACAATAACTGAACCTTTATATACTGCAACAACTTTGATAGATGAAGCATGGATACCGAGGGAGGCAGCAACTCTATCAACAAATTTAGTGGTACCACCAGCTGAGTAGAAAGCATCTAAAGTCCAGTCGAGTCTGATATTGGTCTTGATAGAATCTATAGGTTTAATCATTAAAGAACATCCAGCAGTCATGAAGAACTCAAGGATATTAGAAACGCCCAAGTATCTATTTTCACCACATTTTTGTCCCCTAATTGGATCAAGCTGCTTTAGGTTATCATTCCATTTGTTTGCTTCAATGGTTTTACCTTTGAAATCAGTGATTATGTAAGCACCTGGCTTTGTATAGTCAATTCTAAGAATGACTGCTGACTCATCAGCATAGAGACTGAATCTTTGATTGGATGGGGGAGTTCCTGAATATCTAATGTCATAAGTTCTGAATACACCACCAATTTATCCTGTCTCAATAGTAGTGGGCCATCTAGCCAATCTCAATTGACCTGTGTAGAAACCATCCCAAATGTGATCCTAAAACGTATTTAATGTATTTTTAGAGTTTGTGACATTGTTGACAATATAGATGGGACTGATCATTCTCTTCATTTTATCATCATCAATGTTTTCGAAAAGCAGAACTCCTAGGTTGTCATTTGTGCAGTAGTATCCATTCCAAGCATCTTGACTCTTACATGTGCTGTAGCCTTAAACAGTTGGCTTGTTTCCTGGCAATATTTGGAAATTTTTGTCTGTATTAGTTGGTTTAAGAGTTCCAGCATATGTAGAGCTCTCAAATTATAATAGTGCGTTGTTAGGTGCAGTACAAGGGAAATCTCCACAATCATCAAGGTTAGCCCAGACATCAGGAGGAGTGAAAAGATAAGCCATAGCGTCTTGATGAATATTCTCAAATCTGGGCTTTATAAATTTGGCTCTTGGAATGTAATCAGCTGCATAATGATTGAGTTTAAAGAGTACCTATTGCTTTCCACAGTAAGTCTTTTATGACTTGTAGTTGAAGAACTACAAGTTAGTGTAAGTTGTCTTTCCACCATAGGAAGCATCTGCTTTTATTTTATGAACAGGGATCTTTGAAGTTGCCTTAGGTAATGGATCTTTGCCAGCCTTAGCGAAATATGCCATTTAAAGAGCAGATTTATCCTAGCATCCTTCATGATATCTGACTTTACATTCATTTTCAAACCAACAATCTTAAGCATCAGTTTCTCCGTAGAAGAATGAGTCTTTAACTTAAGCTTCAAGGTTATCTCCTTCAGTTGCGACCATTGGTGTTCCTCCAAAGCCATTATCAATGAAAGTCATCTTTGAGAATACAACCTTACTTGAGGCTCCATCATGGAAGGATACAGCTCCATCAAGACCACATTTGTAGGCAGCAAATCTTGATGCTTCCATGCAAGATTTTTGAGTAGAATCTGATAGGTTAGAGAAAATTATTGCACCAGTATCTCTAATCGAATGAGCTATATTGTCCCTGAATACTCTTTGATTAGTATCATCACAAGCATGAGCATAAGCTGCAAATCCAGTGAATACAGCTCCTGATACGACGTTATTCACAATGCTTATATCAAAGCATGAATCACCAGGCTCAGTACACTCAAGGATAGCACCTGTTGGCTCAAAGACCATATCTAAAACTAGGAAAGTTCTCTCTGTGATGTGTATAACATGATTTCCATCAAGGGTAATGTTCTTACTTGAAGCGATATTAATGCCTCTCTTTACAAAACTAAAGAAGGTATTGTTTGTCAACTTGACATTGGCGGCATTTTCTAATTAAGCTCCATAACCCCATCCTCCATAAATTGCTGAGTTGGATACCTCACTCCAAGAGTTTCCATTGCCTTAGAATCTAATTGCTGCTTTGTAGGTGTCATATTATGAGCAATTATATATTTCAACATGATCCATAAAGGTGTGACCTTTTCTAACCACAGCAGTGATCTCTACGAAATCACTAGTAACTACTTGGCATCCCCAGGCTTCTGAATCATATCCTTAAATCTTAACATTTCTTGATAAAAGATGAACTTCCCCTCTCATATCGATTCCATTGTAGCTTGGTCCAGTTGAAGTTGAAGCACCATAATGATAAGCTTTCAGCCCTGCTTTAAGTACTAATGCACCAGTCGCGTTATCATAAGAATCGATAATGGCGTAGTCTGAGTCATTAAATCTAAGAGTTGTTGGAGGCAGAACGATTCTTTCATTTGCTTGCCATCCTAGCCCTGCTTCTACTGTCAATGTCTTTGCTCCAGCTTAGGCTGTAACTAGAAGTCTTGTCATCCTTTTTCTTGGTAAACCATATATTGAAATGTTTCCAGTGTTTGCAAGAATCTTGTTTCCTGCTTCGATAGCCTCATCATACACAATTTATTCATTTGCTTTTTCACCATGAAGCACAATTGTAGCTTATCCTCTGAATGGTCTTGTCTCGTTTCCAATTACTAAAGCACCAGCTCTTACAAATATGTACTTAGCATACAAGTAGAGATTCTTTCCTACATCATTTTCATTATCGAATGTCAATTTGCCATTGATCTATAGCATATTAAGAATTGGTCCAGTAGCATTTTCAACATCATAGAGCATATTCCATCCTGCTTCAATAACAACAGACTCTCCAGCAGTTGGAACTTTACCACTTGGCCATGAAGCAGGAACGCTCCATCTTCTAAAGTTACTTTCAGTTGCAACTTCCTCAATTGCTGAAAGGCAAGAGCCAATACATCTGTAGCCCTTCATCAAAATCTTGGACTTGGTGGAATTTCTTCCATTATACACTACATGAATTTCTCTGACGGCAGTATCATTATAAACCACATTATCACCAGTTTCCCAAGAGGCTTGTGCCTTAGTAGTCAAAGTTGTATTTTCAATTATCTCACTCTTAGTATTCAAGGAGATGAAGTCTACTTTAGCTCTTACATCAGTAAAGTTATAAACAAGGTATACATTTTTGTCTGTGGGTTACCATCTGTTTGACTGATCTACTTGCATTTAAGTGAAATCAAGACCATACCTCCAATGGACCTTGTATTTGTGTCCAGTAACATAAGGCATAGCCCATCCTTTAGTAGGATCAAGCTTAGGCTTGTATGGAGCGATACTATAGTCTGTAATTTTATCTCTAGTATCGATAAAGTCAGTCTTGTTTGTGTAAAGTTCATCATCAAATCTCATTAACTTGAATTCCATGTTTTCAAAAATACCAGGAGCAAAATTATAATGGGCTAGTCTTCTGATTTGTACTCTATTGTCACAAATGATACCATCAAAAGTGGCATTTTATACTTCACACTCTGGTTAAACGTTATGTGCCCAATAAGGAGTTGCCCAACTATTAACTCCTTTTCCAGTTAAAGTACCATCAGTATCATAGAAAATGTCTCTGAAAGGTGATTGATATCTAATTTTTGTTAGGATAGTTGGAGTATCATAGTGGATTCTCTTAAATGTAACAGTTCTTGCTCCCGAATCTGTAGATGCTGGATGGAAACAATGAGAGCAAGATCCGAAACAGGCGTGGCCTGGTTGATCAAAGTTGTAGAACTTGGCTCCATTGACTGTGAAATTCTCTGTTCTTGGTGTAATAATACCATGGAAGAATGAATGCATAGTGATATTTTCAGCATTTTAAGAGTGACCAATGACAAGGGCATCAATGATTTGAGCATAGCCATCTGCAACATCACCAGTTAAAGAGAACTCAATACCTCCGACTAAGTTATCAGCTACTTTAAAGTTCACAAATCTGACATCACCTACTTGCTCAGCGATGGCTCCATTTCTGTTATTTTTCCAACTCGTAAAGTTATAGAAATAGGCAGTGACTAGAGGGTTTAGATGATATGGATCTGCAGTGTTTGATGCATTATAGATAAGTGGTTTGCATGGATTTTGTCTTGGAATAAGTTTATGGAATATTCTCAATCCATATTTGCCATTTGAATGAGCAACATTATTGCTGAATTCTCCAAGTTGAGCATTTTCAGGGCAGATATCTGGGGTGAATGATGGTCCCATTGGGTTAGGCTTAGTGTCAAACCAATATCCATACCTGTCTGAACCAGCTGCATGGTTGTCTTTGAAGATATTGTCTGGGTGAGTGATCCAGAAACTGGCAGGGGTCTGATCAGTAATCAATAATGACATAGAAGCCATTGTTTAAACTGCCAGATTTCCTTATATCAAGTTCTTAGTTTCAACTGCATCTTCAATAAAGAAAGTATGACCCATAGTATGATAAGCAACATTATTAATGACTCTTAGATAATGAACAGCGTGAATTGTAACTGCTCTGTTGTAGGTATGATGGATTGAGTTTCCTCTAATATAGGAGTTGTGAACAGTTCCGATCAAATGGAAATGAAGTGGATATCTTCCAAGTTAGAAGGCTTGTCCAACGTCTGTCAATTCAATATATTCAATTCTTCCAATTAATGATTCGTCTCCTGCTGAGTGAAGCATAATATGAGCACCGAACTGATTCTTTGATGAAGTTTCTGGGTCTCCTCTATATACGACATTTCTGGTAATAAGACCAACCTCAGCTCTCATCTCAATGAAATTATCATCGTAGTACTCAATATTTGAATAATGCTTGTAATCAAGTGGTTTGTCAAGAGTAATTATTGGTTTGTCAACATTTGCTCTGTTGACTGATACGATAGTTCTAACTTCAGCCTCTCTGTTGTCATAGCCAGATGGAGCTATAACTATTTATTCACCAGCTTTCCAGTCAACAGCTTAGATCAAAGTTATAGTGGATGCACCAATTTCAGCAATAGAGTTTAGCATAGTCCAGGTTGGAGTTCTTGGGACTCCGTGGAAGTCAAGAATACCATTTCTAACAGCAATACACTTGTTACCATAGATTGGAAGTTCTGGTGATTCTTTATCTGAATGCATGGTGATTGTGAGTTTTGATGTATAAGGGAATTCTTCGGTTCCTACTTCCATATAGCCTCCTTATAGCATAATATAGTGAGCATCAAAAGTTCTATGATGATCTGGATTAGCATTAGGTGGGAAAATAAGAGAGCCTTCAACAACAAGCGCGTTCAAGATTGGAGTTGAGTCAACATCTACAAGGAGATGGAGTCCTGCTGGGACATAAACAGACTCACCTTCAATTGGCAAGAATTCTCCACCCCATGTGTCAATAAGTGACCAGTAATTAACGTATCTAAAAACTTTTCCTTGAGCAGCGACATTACCTGATCCTTCAATAATAAATTCAAGAGTTGGAGTAGGGAAAAGGCCTGGTCTGCTTCCAGTGAGACAAGTGACTTGTGTAGCTGTAGCGGTTTGGACAGCACATGGAATGTTATCAATATTGATTGAGTAATCTGATATCACAGTTGAGAAGGACTGTCCAGTGAAAGTGATAGTCTCTCCTCCTTGAACTTTACCATATCTTGGTGTTATGGCTGTGAGTTTTGGAGTCTTGGTAGCAGAGTATGTAACTGATCCTGTAAGTGTAGTAGCAGTTTGACCTGATAGATTTACAGTTACTGGACAGTTATAGCTTGAATCGCTATTATCAATAGTTTAAACTCCTCTGAATTTGAATTCACCAACTCTGCATGAGCCAACACCATTACCTTGGAATTTGTAGTATCTATACTTAAGATTGTTATCCTTATAGCTGTAATAGTTCCATCCTTCGTGAATTTCCTGTCCAACAGTGAAGATGTCAGTATATGTTTCACCATCATTTGATCCTTGGAACTTTAATTTATCTACATAGTTGGTCTTTACAAAGACAGGCATGAAGTATTTAACTTCAGAGAGTTGGCCAATGTGACCATTTGCAAATGATGCACCGAAGTAGCATGCGGAAGATGTGTCGATATAGGGGGTTTAGTTAGCATCATCAGTAAGTGGGGCTTTTCCAGATGAATTTGAAGCGAAGACAGTTCCCATTACATAGCTTTCCTCTTCAATTTTGAAGTTTGTAACAGAGTAAGAAGTTGATAGCTTTGGAACTCTGCATTTCGTGGTAGTGCTTGAAGATTCATCAGCATCCAGTACGCAAGGCTAATCACATACTCTTACAGAGTTATTAGTTTAGGAGAGTGTTGAGGCAAGACCTGGAGCACTGATTGAAAGTAGACAACCACCTGCAAAAGAACAATCAACATTTGATTGAATTGTGGTCTGAGCGAAGGCGTTTTAAATGGTTGTAGATGAAGTGGTTGATGCTGTATGCTTGATTGAGGCTGAAGAAGTACTTGAGAAGACTAGTGATGGAGCAACTGCAGTAGCAGCAAGAGGTACACCATTTGTCCAAGTTGCAGTGACTTGTGTGTCTGAATCAATAGTAGCTGAATCTGCAGTCATACCTTGGAACTTAACAGCTGCAGTATATCCTGAAGTAAAGAAATTAGCACCTGTAATTACTAATTGAGTAGAAGCTGAAGCAAGAGAAACAGATGAAATTGATGGCATTGAAGTGCTTGTTTGATAGGCACATTCAGCTGGAGCAGCACAAGTATATGTAAAAGTCTTAACCTTTAATTATAGAGTAGCAGATGCAATGGTAAGTGCCTTTGTCTCGCATTTTAAGACTCCGTACTCTGTAATGCTAGCGGATAGACAAATATCTGTGCCTGCTGAGAACAAAGTTACTGTTGACGATGAGATTCCAAGACCCCTAACAACAGCTGTCAATAATGAACCTCCAGGTGATCCAGTACTTGGTGATACAGAAACAATGACTGGTGTCAAGGTTATTCCAACACTGCTTAAAAGATCAGCACCTCTGGGGGTTCCTGATGGAAGGTAGAACTCAATGTTATTTGAACTTGCAGAGAGCATATTAGTAATAGTAACAACAATCTGTGTTTCTGAAGCTGAAGCAATAGTTTAAGCAAGACCATCAATTTTAAATGTAACGTCTGAAATGACAGTTGGGAATCCAGTTCCTTCCAGAGTAATTTGATATTAGTTAATGTCAGTATTAAAGGACACTGAACTAGAGCTAAATGTAGTTAGCACAGGCAATGAAGATGATTCATCATTTAACCAGGTGAAGGTGCAGTCGCTGCCAGTACTGCAGACTGCTTCTTCAGAAGTCTTAAGGAAGGCGATTAATGGTTCTGTAGCCTCAATAGAAACTCTTGGTTGAGTTCTGCAAATTATTTAATTTGCTGTCGATGATTAAACAAGGCAATCAGTTGTTCCAATTTTAACTGGATTGTCTAGTGCATCAGTTGAGAATACTCTTCCAGTAATTGTAATTAAGGTACCTCCATAAATAGAACCTGAGGTTGGGGAGAAGTTTAAGACCTCTCCAACTGCTTTAAGTTGAATAGCTGAGTTTTCGAGCATACCATAGGTCTCAGAAAAAACGTTGACTTTATAGGTACCACTGTAGATACCTCCATACTTTACTGTGATAGTTTTGGCTACATCATCAACAGCTACGACGTTAATTTGCTTTGAAAGAGCATTGGTAGGATCAGTGTTGACAAGAGTCACTGTTAATTCATCAATGTCAAGAGTACCACTGAAAGATGGGTCAACTTAAATCACAATTTGCTATTTAAGAACTGGGGAAACATTTGGTGGTGTAAGAGCAGTCAGACTGGCTGGGCTTGTTGAGACATCAATAGTTTGTGTTGCATCGTTTTGCCCATTTACAGTTACAGAGACAGCTTGAATGCCTGCTGCAGCAAATTTAGGTAAAATGCAAGTAATTGAAGTTGCTGTTGAGCTGTGAAGTGTGCAAGATTAAGTGTCAGTGAAAGTTATTGAGATAGTGCTGCCATCCTTCAATGAAGTTGGGAAATTTTGACCTCCGATTGTAAGCTTACTGCCTCCATTAGGATTGACACCAGTGCTAGGAGTAGCACTTGAAACAACGAGTGGTACTGTGACTGAGGCTGCTGCAAGGAATCTGTTTCTTCTAGCAGTAGAAACTGGGATAAGACCCATATTATCTGTAAGGAGTGGTCCCCATGTACCTGCTACTTTAGAGGGTAGGGTACATACTACCTGAGTGCTTGAGACTGATTGAACTGCGCAATTAACATTAGAGAATTGAATTGTTTTGATGCTTGCCGAAGCTGGGAGATTTGTGCCATCTATAGTTAATTGCAATCCATCAAGAGTGAATTGAGTAATCTCACCAGTTGGAGCTACGTAAGTATATCCACAGTCAAGAGATGAGCAAACAGCTGGAAGGTTATCAACTGAGACGAGTACTTATGGCTTAGCTTCTTGAGTATAGATAAATTCAAATGGAACAGGCTCGTAGAAAAGAGACTCGCCATGCTACTTAGTGGTCTCAAATGTGAAGTTAACATTATTACCTACAATCACACTTGATTGTGAGCTTTCAATAGTAAATTGGGGAATGTCTCTGTTAATGTCAGTGAATCTGATCATGATATCTCTTCCATCAACGTAGTAGCTATAGGCTGTACCATCCCAGACGTTAATCTTGTCTTTGTATACTGGACAAGCTTACTCAATAGCTGCTTAAATCTGATATGGTAAGTAAGAGACTGGGATATCAACAGTAGCACCAAATGTATCATTTAGATGTGAGCATTTGATGACGAAGTTGCCAGAGAGCTGTTAAGAGGACTTTTAAGTCACTTTTTAGAAGGAAACACTTGCAGCAGTTCCTTCACGTTAAAATGATGGTTATTATGTAAGACTATCAGTGGCTTATGCTTTGTTAACAGTGATAGTGTAAGTGTTAATAACAGAATTAAGGACATTTTAAACCTCGTTGCCATCAGCATCCTGCATGACGAGAGTAACTGAAATTGTACTGCCAAAATTTTATTACCAGTAAGAGTTTAGAGCATTTCTTACTTGATCTGCTGAAGCTCTAGTGATAATCTATGCAACGTAAGGAGTAGTTGAACCTGGAACTACTAATCCTATTTTATAAGAACCAGTATCAGGATTTCTAACAATGAGCTTGTGTTGTTCTCTGATATTTTCTGGATTTATTCTCAGTCTTTGAATTTCTTTCATAGAGTTTTAATGTCCTGGCACTTGGGTATCTATTTCAACTGAGACAACCATTTCATCTCCTCCTGAGTATTAGAGATGGCGACCTTCAATATAGTAGTAGGTATCAGAGGAAAGAGTAAGCCAATTAGTTACTCTTTTGTCATCACCAGGGTTTAGATAGCTTCTGTAAGCAGCATATCCTGCTGAAATAAGCTAAATAGCTCCAGCTGGATCTTTAGTGTTCGCTCCATCAACATTCATTAAAAGTTAGCAAGAATCGTCACAAGCCATGTAGAATCTGTATCTACCTGTAACTGGTGGCTTGAAGTAACCCTTGAAGATATTACCTGAATAGCCATCTCTCTAGTTACGAGGAGTCTCAAATGATAGAGCAACTGTAGTCTCTTAAAGATTAAGATCTACAAGACGATTCCATGATTATCCAATACTATAATCAGTAATGTTATAAAAGCTTCTCTTAAGACCATTAGATCCAACAAAGAAGCTATCTGGTGACGGTGAAGGTTAAGCACCAGTTTTACAAGTAAGGCTTTTCAACGAGTGAGTAACTACTTTGCAATCAACACCATCAACTTTAACATTAATGTTATTACTTTCAAAACCATATCCATCGATTTACAAAATTTGGCCACCTGATGTGTAGCCTGATTAGGCGCTTAACTAGTTAATGACAGGAACAACTTTAACCTTATAACAATTTGTATTTGCGATGTCGCATTAGATCATTTGGCTGTCCTTTTACAAACTGTTACCAACCCTCCACTTAAGATTAACTGAGGCACTAGGGTTAGGTTTCACTTCATATACGTTGGCTCTGATTGAGTTCTTGGCCCAAGCAGACAAAACTGTATCTTCTGTAATAAACTCCTCAAAGTTGAGAGTCTTTCCATCGATTCTTCCTTCTTCAAAAGGTAGGTCAGTGGCAAGTCTATAGGTCTGAGCAGCCTTTGGGTCAACGTAGAAAGATGTCTCTGAACCATGATATACAACTCTTGGTTGCATGTAATATAGTACAGGAGTATAGGATCTGCTCATTGTAATACGGCAATTTTAGGCTGGATTTTCAGAGCAAGATAGTGAATTTACTCTCCCAGTTGTTGGATTGCTATCAATTAATGATAGGTCAAACGTCACCCAATCTACATCGTCTAGGTTATCGTAAGATTTTCCAGTCAGTGTCATTAGAGAGGGTGTAGTATATTAGAGCTTTCCATTGTGAGTGTTTGAATTGAATGAGTTGTCCTCTATTCAATATAGTTATATATAATTTGTAAAGTGGATATTTGGGAATGGTAGAGAAATATAATTAATACTTACTTGAAACAGCTTGCCCTAATTTTTCAAAGACATTGTCTTTCTAGAATAATACTTGAATGTTTTCAGCAGTCATCGACATGCCCTGGCCATTAAACATAATTTCTGTACCTCCTGCTAGAGATGCTGCTGTGATTCCAAGGTAATCACCTCTTCTAAACAGATCTACTCCTGAGATCAGAGGTGTAATACCAGCATCGTTTGCTAATAATGTTATAAAACTTTGAAATCATACCATTTGTGATGTTTATGATTGAGAGGAGTAGAGCTAATACTAAAGATTTAGCTTAGCTTATCCGCCCAATTCGTTTTCGCTTTAATTGCATGTGCTAAAATAATAAATTTAATTTATCAAAGGATCCTTTTCAATTAAATTCCTAAACAAACTAAACAGCATATCACAACATTACTAATTAACATAGAAGTAAATTTATATGCTACCTTAAATTTTCTATTGGCAGTCTATACCCACTTTTGGGGTTTTGGGGTTTTGGGGTTTAATTGAAAAG